CTCTTAGGTTTTGTTAATAACCAACTCTGACCGACAGCCAATCATTGACTCATGAAAAATGTCCTTAAGGTGCATTTTTGAGGTTCTTTTAAACGGTAGAAACAAAAGAAAAAGTTCTGCTGTTAATTTATGAATTTGAACAATAAACAAAACTTTGATATCGAGGATCAGTTGAAATTAATGTAACCGACTCAGAATAATTGGATTGAACTGACTTTTTATTTTTGTAAAGTGTGTTGAGATGATGTGTTATGATGTTTCTATATAAATGGAATAAAAACGATAAAAAATTTGGCCTATGATGGAGATCTGTAGTCTACCGGCTAACTGCGGGAGACACAACCTGCTAGCATCAAAACCGAGAAAACAGGAAGAGCTCATTAGAAACACTAATGCAAAACAACAAACTTTATCTGGACCTAGTTGGCGTTTACCTCCCGCTGTCTTAGCGCGATGCTCAAGAGGAATGCAGCAGATGTCACGGTCAGACAGCATGCAAGAAAAGTTAAACACTACGTACAAATAACATCCCCAAGGTCACGCATTTGTATGCATTTAAAAAAGTTTTAAATGCATACAAATGTATACACTCCACTCAGTTAGAAGGCCTTTTTTTGTTTCTCTTGTAAGTTTTATATGTTACGGCTGCAGTGAGTCTCTGCCCTTTTTCCTTGCAGGGTTCTGGAGACCGGCCTTCTGCAGGTGTTGTGCTTTTCCCTAATTGCTGCTCTGCTGTTATAAAGCTGCCAAGCATGCAGTAGACAATAAGCTTTTCCCCCTCCCTCCTCAGAACCCCAGTTGGTCTGGTTTGTATCTTATGGTCGGGTTTTGTTAGGTTTTTTTGCATTTGCTTATTTTTGGCTAACCCTGGGTTTTGACTGATTTGATTTGGTTTCTCATTTCAGGTGTTCTTTTTTTCAGGTCTTATTTCTTCAGTACAATTTAATAAATTCAATCCTGAAGTCAGAAAATCCTTGCGCAAACTCCTTTAATGTTACCCCAACAAACGAGCCTGTTGGACGTAACCTATATCGTTACCGCTACCCATCCTAATAATATTGTGATATGAATTTTATGCCACATACGCAGCAATTGATGTTAAACTGAATCCTGGATCTGTATCCTGTTTAGGGACATTTACATGACACAACAAACTCTAAAGTCTAAGCACATTTAGCCAAAGCTGAACAGGAAACATCATATTTATGGAGGGAACCACTGACTGGATGCTGATGTGATCAGGAGCCTTATGTTCAGGGCAATTACTGCTTCTCTTCACAAAAAGAAATTGATTCTTTTTATCCCTTTACAAATAGGTTATGGATAATGGCCTGAGGTTTAGTCACCATTAACAACATGAAGAAAAACAGATGCTCATGCGTTTCCCACTAACATGTTTCATGTTGTGTCAACATGCATGCCCGACTTCAAAGAGCAGATTTCAGCACTGGCTACCTCGTCTAGCTTCCTCCGCGCTCACAGAGAAACAGTCAGAGAGAGAGACGTCTCTGCTTTGATGAAGCTGCAGATGTGGCTTCATTTATACAGTGAGGAGAAAACAAGAAGTCAAAGAGACAAATATTTCACAGTGAATAATTTAAGATAAGAAGAGACTGGAGGTGGTTTTATTGGATTTTCAAACTAAAAAAATTGAGAAATGATGCTTGAATGGAGCAAAACTTTTAATTTCAGAAACTGACAAATATTTAAGAAACAAATATGGGTTCTAGGTTGGTATGCTATCAAACAATCTCAGAGTACAAGTGGGTTTCTTTTAATTAAAAGTCTAAAAGAAACATGGTATGCATCTGTTTTCAGCCAACCTGTGTCCTGACATTATCAATTTAGTTTGAAATGTATTAATTTATTTGGCAGGGACACTTCACATTAATCAGCATTTCTGTAAATGCACCAGAATTAGCCAAAAGAATATTTTTCATCTGTTGTCCTTGAACAATGAGTAATTTGTCTCGTTGAAAGCAGAGGTAATACAAAACAAGGTTAAAGCAACAATCAATAAATACAATAACAAAATGAAAGGTAAGGTGACTTTATAAAACCTGTTGGAGCAGTACCTGTTTAAATATGCAAGTAAAATCAAATACATACATAAAATATCACAAAGACATGCACCTGAAACGCAAAGCACATACAGTTTTCATTTTGAGTCACAAAAAAGCCCAACTATGTGTTGGTATCTCACATAAAATTCCAAGAAAGCAAATTAAAGTTTATGGTTCCATTGCGGCAAAATGTAAAATGGCACCAAGAGTTTGGATAACATCCATAAGGAGCTGGAGGGGTGAATAACACAAGATAAAAAAACAATTGGACAACTGAAAAATTACAAGAACCCAACCTCAAGTGGGAGGCGCCCTTAGCAGGGCTTGTATAAACTGGGACAAAGGTAAATGCCTCTGAGGCATTTAGATATATACAGTGTCTGCATGGAAAAATACACAAGATGCATTTCAGGTCAAACAACAACAGGAAAAATCTAAATTCACACGCAACAAGATGCCTTTGCAGTAGTCGAGAAGCACTAAACTTAAGAAAATAGGAATTAGCCTTGCATAAATAATAAAATATCAGGATGAATTAAGCTAAATTATGTAACTTTTCTTTGTCAAACACAAGCTAAAATTGAAGACTTGAATTTCATGGAGAGATGCAGAAAGCAGTTGAAATTATAATTGGCTAATTTTCCTTGGATTGGCTCATATACTAAAAAAAACCTATTCTTTTTCTCCTTTGTTAAATGCTACAAATAAAAAAATCTCACTATTAAGGTTAGAAATGCACAAGTTAACAGAACATATGTTTTATATGATTTATTCATCATTTTGATTATGAATAAATAGGATTAGCCTTGCAGTTCTTTAATTTTCTGCTGGATTTAGAACTGCTACAGCTACCAAACAACCTCTAATCCATGTTTTTCTCTTGCATACTAGAGCCTGTCAGTCAGAACAAGCAGGTTAGACCTCAAAGTAAACAGGAAAGTGGTATTTGTCAGGAAAAGCCTGATTGGTGTGGGTCTGGTTTCATGGATCCATGGCAATCAGGGCAAAACACAACACATGTCTGCAGAAAACCTGTCTCCAGAGTTAACCTCTGAAACAAACTTTCCTTTTAGAGATGAAAGACAGGAAAAACAAACAACCACAATCATCTACAGACCTGTTTGTCAATTACAAATATTTAGAGCATGACTCTTCCCATTACTGTCAATACGCAAAAACACTTCCCTAAATTGTTGCTAGTATCATTCAGAGCCCTAATAATTTGATTCATCCCTTTATGTGAAAATGCAGGTGTTCCCCATTCATGGAGGAAGAATTATGAGTGGAAGCTCTTTCAATGGTAATCAAACAATATAGGTCAAGTGTAATGTGCTCTGGCCTTTCTGGAGCAAGATTATTGCTCGGATCAGTTAATTTCCAACTGACAGCAGCTAATGTTTCATCTCTATTGGTGAAGATGGGTCAGGTAATGCTTTAGCAGGTAATTCAGGCTAACCGACAATGAGACCAGTCGCGTTCTTTCAGTCATCTCAAAGTAGAGTGGATTTTAATGCAGAAGAGCAGTAAAAACGCTTTGTCTGCCTACTGAGGTGATAAATGTATACCGGTGTTTTATAGGTTTGCCAATGTAGGGCGGTTAAACCGAGCTGTCGCTAAAAGTGACAGCCGAATCGATGCTAGCTGATGCTACTGCCGCCTAGCCGGAGCGCCCAGCCCCAAAACGGCTACTGATAACGCTCTGCCAAAGATGCGGCCTCTCTCCCGCGATGTGTCTTTCACTCACCTGTTTTTATTGAAAGAGGCGAAATGTCCAGGATTCAGTGACGCTGGAACAGATTATTAACTTCTGACGTCGTCCCCGGTGGAGTCCCGTCGCTTTCAGTTTTCCTCCTCCGCGACTGCGCTCCACAACAGATGCTCGCGCTGATGAGTGGATGATGCCTTCAAAGAGTGTCGGAAATTTGATAATTAAGACTTGAAGGTCGCTCCTGAACCGAAGCGCACGCTTTTGGATAAAAGTTTGAATACATCACTATAGTACATTTGGGATATAATAATATGTATTTTCTTAAATAAAAAAAAAACACAAATTCAATTTGTCTATTTTTTTTTATCACTGAAATTGTTTTAATTTAATACCCTGTTAGAGTTACTGATTTTGTAATACACAAATTTATTTTTAAAAAAAAGTGTATATTGTTTAAAAGTTATCCAATAACATTTTTGGTAAACTTTCATCCTTTTTATAGCCATTCTCCGTGGAAAAAGACGAGACTTCAAGTACCATAGATAAATTACCGTAATGAAATTGAAAGCATCATCATAACAAAACAATGCATTATTATAGATATTCATCTTAGTTTTGACTGGAATGATGCTGGCAGGCACCATTCCAGTCAATATACTGGAAATATATGTAAGTTGAGTCTGTCTTCCTGATTATACTTTCATGCAAAAGTCTGTAGGAAACAGCAATCATCTTAATGAAACACATTAACCAGACTACATAGTTCTTATAGTTTGCTTTCATTATGATCACTGTCGATGTAGCCATTTTGGTCCTTCCTGGACCTGATTGTCTTAAGAAACCATTTTTATTGTGGTTTATATTTCCTTAAATAAGGTGTTCTCAGATCAGAACATATGTAAACACTTTTAAAGTTAGACTTTGATTTAAAAAACACAATTGAAAAGGGGGAAAAAACTCACCTTGTGTGATATCATCACAGACATGTGCTTATGAAAGATTGGTTTTGTGAGGGTAGCTTATTCTTGATTTAAATAACCACCTAAAACTAAAACTGACAAGGGCATCTAATTTCCTAGATAACAAACTATACCTAAAGATAATTTAATTATTCAAAAAGAAAAGCATGTGCAGTAGCTTGAAGTGTTACAGTATATCATTAAAGCATTTGGATACAGAAAGTGAAAGGTAAACAACTTTGTAACTAAGAAAGTAAATAGACACACATATAAATTTAAGGTTTATTATTGTCACCATAACAATAATGTGAATCTCTCTTTATTTTGACCATCAATTCAATCATAATTGTTCTTTTATCACAGGCAATAGTTATAATAGTGCACTTTTTATATTTAAATTATGATACAGACACTTCATTTTTTTAAAACACCTTATTCTACTGACCCTTATGAATGGAGAATAGTTTACAATCTTAGCCAGGGCTGGGTCAATGAAAGTGAAGGTGGTTTGAGGAATGAAACCGAAAATGAAGCCGAGCGATTGTAAAAGTGTGTACTAACAGTGAGGAGAACAACTCTGTACATTTTGTCTGGTGATGATGGGAATACGACGGGGAGTGAAGAGAGGCAAATGAGTGAAGCAAATGCTCAAAATGTGTAAAAGAGAAATAACCAGCGCTTTGCAGGGTTTGGCTTCGGTAGTTAATTTGATATGGTTAGGTTGGGCGAAGTCGCCATGCGGAATCAGCTCGACATATATCTGCTGCGAAGCTTTAATCTCTCTCTCTCTCACTCAGTCATCAGTTCACACACAGATTCCAGATACTAGAGATAAGCATGAGAAGCTTGAGATTCAGACAAAGGTCACAGAGGAAAAGAAAACAAGTCAACACATCTATCAGAGCAGGAAAGGAAAATCAGAGTGACTACGAGTGAATTAGATTGTTATTAAAATGGTTCTCATGACATGGAATACACTTTGTAAACAAACATATGGCAAAACCGAACTCTAAATTAAATATATAAATGAATAAATAACCAAATAAATAAATAAATAATCAAATAAATTCATGAAAAACTGAAACTCCTGCACTTTGTTGCATATTGTGCTGAATGGAAGACTGGTGAAGAACACTGACTGGTCTGGCGTAGTACTGGGGTAACATGTGGATGTCCGAGTTGCTACGTCGTGCTTGTCCAATGGCGTGACACTTGGAGATCCAACGCTTGGCTCGTTGGTGAACACTCAGATGAGGAGCCTGGGGTTGTTGGGAGATGCTTGCTTCCTGTGCAAACCTTGTGAGTCCAGCGTCATGAAAATGTCCACTCATGAGTTTCCTGTTGTTTTTTTGTTGTTTTTTTTACAAGTCATAATGTGATTACAATGGCAATAGGAGACAAGCTTCAGATGAGAGGTGCTTTCTGGTTGATCCGAAGGTCAGGAATGCGCTTCTGATTCAGTCTGGGCACAAACACCTCCAACGAGGTACAGAGATCTATTCACCTATTAACAGTGCCCTCCCCACGGCCCTTATAGCAATGTTCATATATCTGTTCAAACCAAAGCAACCAAAGCAACAAGGGTCCAATGCAGAATCATAGATGCATTGTTTTATACCGTCTCTGAGTAAAAAGGAAATACAAAACAACTCAACGTATGCCAACAACGTTCAGACTGTTTCTGCTGCCGTCTTCACCAACACCACTGTGCTACTGACATCCTCAAATAAAAGGAAATACATTAACACAAATAAAAACCAAAATAAAAAATAAGTTTTTTCACATTCACTTACTTAGCTTACTTGTTGGCTTTCTTTAGATCAACAAAAGCCGCTGCTGGAACTCAAGGATGCAGTTTCTTTAGAGAAAAGCGTAACCTCCTGGTAGCAGGTTGCTAAAATTTAAAGTTTTTATGCTGCAATACATTTACATTTCTCTCCAGATGGAATATCATCTGCATGTTGCTTGAAATGAGCGCCACCATTAATTTAAGGAGTAAATTTTGGACGTGAACCAATGGTATGAGACTATTTTATCTGGTCGTGGCATACACATCAGCACTTCAAAAAATTTCTGTTTGATTTGGGAAGCTACATTTTTAATGGATGGATACCAAACTGCTCATTCTCACACCGCCTTTTTTAAATTAAAGAGTGGTTCCTTAAAACTTCTTCCTCTTTTAAAGGTAGGACTAATGGTGATCCAGAACATCAAGATTATTTTGGCAAAACAATGAAAGATGGGAGGGGAAAAAGGCTCAATCCTTGTTACGGTTAAGCACTTTCAGTGACGTAGCTTGTAACTTGCAGGGAAACTTGAAGGTGGAGTTATTACTGTCTGGTTTCTGGTGCAGCTCAAGCATCCTGCAGCGTGTTCTCGCTCTATCCTACGGTTGGGACTGGGTTCCATTAGAGGACAGGAGGCGGGTTCTCTCCTTGGCCGAACCTCTGCGCTGCAGAACTCCTCCGCTGCCTCCGATGCCTCCGCCGTCTGCCCGGTCGCCCCACTCGCACCTGTCGCCCCCACCCTCAGAGCGCCTTGAGTTTTGGCGGGTGGGGGTCCCGTGGGGACGACTGCTCTTCTCATCTGGGAAGGGATCAACAGAGCAGAACAGGAAAGTCACTCCCAGCGTATATATGGTACAATCTTACCAAACCAATTAGATTGATCTCAGAAATTTTCTAGAAAAAACTAGAAAATTTTGGAAATTTTCAGAGTTTCGAAAGTTGAACATTTAAAACTTTTTGAGTTTGGAAATTTCAAAAAATTAAAAAAAAAAAAAAACATGCAAATTTTTTTATCTCAAATTGTTGAAATTTGTTGAGTTGAAACTGGAACAATTTCAATTTTTCAACCTCAGATTTTTCCATGTTTTTCTCAAAAATTTCTGAGATTAATTTCAAAATTTCCAAGGTTGAAAGGGCAAAATTTGTAAGACAAGGGTCAAATTTTGAGATCAAGTTAAAATAAATTAATTACTGCTTCACTGAAGTTAAAACTCATGGATAGGCAGTCTCACCACATAGGGCTTGCACCAGTGGCTGATCATGAGAGCTGAGAAGCTGGGCTTGAATCGTTTCCACCACTCGTCTGAACCTGCGACTCGGCCCTGTGGATCCAAAACCTTGTTGTTGAAATGTGCTGCACAAATAAACTTGACTGGCTGAAATCTCCAGCAACGTTTTACTCACAAAAATAAAACAACCTAATAAGTAAAATGGACTAAATCCAGTTTAGGGTTTTCAAAGAGTTCTAATTTTTGTTGCTGGGAATAAACTAATAATGATATCTTGACCAACATGTTAGGAAACTGTACAACTCTGAGAAACATTCTTGGACCTTTCATTTGAAAATATTATATGTTAATTGGTTGCTGAACAGGTGAAAAGAAAATAATTCACAGTAAAATTATTTAGCATTTTTAACTGAAAGAAATAAAAATTAAATGTGGGCATTGAGTGTTTTCAACTTGGTTATTTGAAAGCACCTCTGGAAAAAATAAAGAGACCACTGCAAAATTATCAGTTACTCTGATTTTACTCTTTCTAGGTAAATGTCTGAGTAAAATTAACATTGTTCTTTCATTCTATGAACTATAGACAACATGTCTCCAAAATTCCTAGCAAAAAATTAGTATTTACAGTATTTGCAGAAAATGAGAAATGGTCAATATAACGAAAAAGATGCAGTGCTTTCAGACCTCGAAGAATGAAAAAAAAAAATCATATTCAGGAAGAAACAACAATACTACTAACTCGGGTGGAATAACAATGAGGCTCCCAGTAGGGTTCAGTGCAGTGGTTTCTTTTTTTTCCATATATATATATAAAAATCATGTGGATGTGACATAAGGCTTTCCCGTTTAAAAGTATGTGAATCTGATTTGCCTGATATGAGGGAGAACGTCACGCTGTAGATTCCGGTTTCCCTCCTCCCCTCCCTCTCGCTCCTCTCCCTGTCCCGTTCCCTCTCGCCCTCGGAGAAGGCAATGTCCACTTGGAACTTGACAGGCTTCTGGAAGACGGAGGGACCGCCGGAGGACTTGTATTCTGCCCGGAAGCTGGTCTGGGAGATGACGCTGTGGCTGAGCGACGGGATCTGCGTGATGGGGAGACAGAGAAGAAGCAGAGAGACCGACAGACTTACGAGGCGGGAGAGGTACAAAGGGTCCGACGTGAGCATAGGGGAGACAAAGGGTGAGGGTGAGGACAGGAGAGACAGAGAGTGAGCCATTGGTGAAAGCAAAGTGCCCCGTGTACGTGCCACAAGTGAGCGAGCTCAAACAGAAATTAAACAGAGAAGAGTGAAATAATGAGAAGCAATGAGGTGCACAGCATGAGAGTGCATGTGAATGCCTTTCTCCCCCAGAGAGCCATACTCATGTACAAATAAAAGTTGACAAGAGAGCAGCGCATAGGACAGACCGCATCAGATACTCACTGACAGGAAAGCGTGGACAATGTCGGCTTTGACAGAACTCAACGGTTTGTCCCTGATCACGACGAAGATCTGCTCCTCTTTCTCCAAACCGATGAAATTCCCGAACCAGGACTTCTTGGCCAGCCTTGACGGCAATTTAAAAATTGTAAACAGTGAGCGAGAACGTAGCAGCGGAAGAGAGTTATACTGGGTGAATTAAAGAGCAGTCTTACTCTGGACTGGATTCTGGCGTTAGGCTGGACATGTCCTCTGACGTCGGAACTGGGAGAGAAAGATCTAAATTAAAGATAATTTCATAAACAGCTGGAAGTAGTGGAGGACATATCCTAGATTCACCTCGTTTAAAAACAAAAGGTCAACATTTTGGTCTCATTACAAACACAAACCTCAGCGTACTTTACAGATTTACACCAACACAAATAGTTGTAAACCACGAGTAGTTTAGTGTGAATTCACCGTTATGCTCCGATTATGTTTGCCTATTACTTAAAACTAGAGATGCACCGATCCAATATTAACTGTATTGGTTCCAATATTGAAAAATTTCTTGCGGATGTCAGTTTCCATTTCTTTATTATTTATTTTACATTAGCTGTTCCACTTCTAATTGAACAAATGAACATTGTTTTTACATGTTTGACCAAGTCTCTGAAGCTATTGTTGTATTTAAATGTGTTGCACTGGTGCAGAATTATCAAATAAATTTGTAATTCAGTCCATTTATGGATGTGTTTTAAGAAATAAAAATCTTAAGCCAACTCAGTGCTGTTTTACATATTGGATCATATCAGACGACACTAAATCTCAGATATCTGCGTCAGTATCAGAAAATGCAAAAAGTGGATCAGTGCATCCAAACTTAAAATTTTGATGAAGTTTATGGTTGTAATCTGACAGTGAAGATTCATAAATAGTGGCTTATTGTAACAAAACATAAAAACTCACCTTGTAATTTGCGCCGATGGAATCGCGGCGATCCCAGCAAGTTGTTCTTGAAAGAATTGAGGCGAGTCCTCCAGTGAGCGGGGCTGCTGGCCGCCATGCCGCCGCCCCCTCCTGGGCTGGAGGGAGGGGTGAGCGACAGCGAGCCCACCCCTCCACCTCCCTCTGCCCGTGATGAGGATGAGGACGAGGAAGAGGAAGGCGGGGTGGAAGAGGGGTGGTGGGGGTGGTGAACAGGGGTGCCCAACGGTGTGGGCAGCGGAGAGCCTTGGGGGGTAACCTGTGGCACAGAGTGGGCAGAGTTTGGGTAGAAACTCTTAGTCACTGACTTGAGGACAGAGGACGAAGGGAAGAAGAAGCGAGGGATGGGTGACAGGAGTGGGGAGGGAGAGGGCGAGCGGGAGGATGGGTTGTGCAGGGGCAGGGATTTAATGGCCTGCAGGTGGGGACGGTCGGCGGGTCCTTTGGTGGGCAGGGTCTGGGTCTTGGGGTTGGGGGACGCTTTGGGCTTGTCATGAGACCGTGCTGAACGAGGAGTGGTGGCGTTTCCCTGTTTGGACTCCTTTGTGAGGGGGGAAGCAGTGGCGCAGGTCACGTCTGATTGGCTGAAAGTGAAGACGGGGCTCTGGTAGGACTGTGGGGAGTTTGGAGGAGTGTGGGAGTGGTGGGGAGGAGAGATGGAAAACAAGAAAGAGAAGGGATGGAAAATGGAGAAAGGATGGAAATGAATATCATGCTTAATGACAGAAGAGTGCACCTTATGAACAGTGAATGTGCTCAATGCAAATCGAACTGCTGATCATGAAAGATTCAGTTTCAGGGTTTCCCTCAGTGTTTCATAAGCCTGGCGGGCCACCAGGCTTTACTTTTGAACTGGTGTTTGTTTGTTTATTCTGGGATTTTAAAAATTTTTATAAACTCAAAAACACGGTGCGCTGCTGGATGACCTCCCTACCACTGGGGAAACCCTGACGTTGATTGTTTTATTCTTTTTCCAAAAACTATTGATATGAGAGGGTTTAGTGTTGAGGCAGAGAGGAAGTTAAAGTACAGAGACAGGACAGTGGAAGTGAGGCTGTTACTGTAAGCTTCAAATTGAAACTACTTTATTTCAGTAAATAACCACCAGTTGTTCTCATACATGCACAGGGAGGTAGAGATGACATAAAGGGAGAAAATGCAAACTTCCTGTTGAGAAGGATTTTAATTGGAGGAGCTGGAAGTGGTGTGATGATGTTTATAAATGACTGGAGACACTGATATATGGACAGTACAGAAATGATTGTGGAAAGTTGATTTATATTTAACAGTTTCATCTTCAGAGCTGTGAAAATATTGACCGCAAACTGATGTTGATATTTTGCAGAGTGATTAGTGAGGGAGTTCGCTGTAAAAATCTGGAGAAAATATTAATTATTGATTGCTACAGGAAACCATCATCATTTCTAAAAGAGGCATTCGACACAAGATTAACATACGAAAATGATTAGATTCAATAATAAAGCGCATTAAAAGTCAGTGAAGTCCTTACCCTGGGACTGCTGAGGGGGCTTGAGGAGAGACCACTAGAAGCTCCACTGACTGAGCGAGACCTGTTGAAAAGAACCAGCATAGAAAAACAGAATAAAATTAACTTTTAAAGTCTACAAAGAGAGAATTTTGTATTTATGTTCACACACTTACCTCTGACTGTGTGCGGCTGTGTCAAGGGCCCTGCGAGGTGGAGTGGGAGACCCCTGCTCCGTAACACTAAGGACTTCGAGGCTTTTCCTCTCAGGGCGGCAGCGGCCATGACGAGTCAGCATGGGAGAGTCGACACGCTTCCTGGGAGGGTCTGCTAAAAATGTAACGGGACAGAAAAAGAATATTTTTTAACCTAAGTGAAAATTTTTTTGTTTTTTGATACAGTTTTGGCCATTTGTTCTTTTAACAAAAGAACTGCATACTCCACTTAATGATTTTATTAGTAAATTAGCTAAAAAAAAAAATTCAGAATCAATTTATTGTGATTAATCTGATCAACTTGTTCATCCAAAATGTGGACATAAGAAGCTAATAATAAAAGCAGCTTCCCCTCTTGAAAGGTTCGCTCCTGCCCCCTACTGACTCACCAACGTCATTGCGTGGAGGCAGGTCCTCGTCCTCATAGCTTGGGTAGCGTTCCTTCCTGTCCAGCAGTAGGTAATAGATCATCTTCTCCTGGTTTTCTCTAAATATAAAAACAACATATTTACACCAAAATTTAAAGCCACATACTTATGTTTAAATGTAATCTTTTCAAGATATGTATTTCTAAACCAATTAAAATTCTTTATCTTTGCCTTAAAGAGGCAGTATTATGTCTTTTCCAGGCACATAGTGCCATTTTATAGAACAACCACGTTACTATTTTACCTTCAGTTGTATAAAAATTTATATACATCAAATATGATTTGAAATAAATGTCACTGGGTGATTTAAACTCTTGAAATTGTCTCTTTAAAAACTGTCTCTTTCTGAAACTATGCCTTCAGGAGGTCATCACATTAACCCTTTAACAACGTTTTAACCAGCGCTGCATTCAGAAGTAGCTTCTAAAATGAGCTCAGCAGCTGTGCAGTCTGCCAGGTGTTTGCTAATTGCTGTTGGCTAGTCTGAAGGAGCAGAGTGTGGAGGAGAAGGGACTATGTGTGCTCTGTGGCGTGGAAACGCGGGATCTCGGTAAACTGCACCTCCTTGAAGTCAGAGCCAGACCTACCCAGTCGTTTTGCACAGCTGAATGGTTGACTTGGAGATTAAAGGACTTATCAAACATGCATGACAAAATCAAAACAACTCCCCAGGAATGTTTTTGATAACATTAAGACATGATGTAAATCTCAAAAAAGTCGACTTTAAATAACACTGCCCCTTTAAGTTCTACTTAATCCATAAAGTTGACAGGTCAGGCGGGCGAACACAGAAGTTCTCAGCAGTCTTACTCTTCGCATTGCAAATCCCGGGTAAGCTTGACTCGGTCGCGGAAACATCCTAGAGAGTGCATGCTTTCCAACACGTCCGGGTCCAACTCGGTCAGCGACAGTATTCTCTGCACACACACCCGCCTGGGAGGAGGCTGCTCGGGACACGGCTCATTACGACCGCCTCTGTGACACGACAAATCACAAACAACCGGGATTAACTTAAAAATATGGTGCAACATCTTCTGACAGCAGAGAGCAAAGAATGTTTACTCACTGATACCAGGAGTGTTTCTGGATGGCCTCTAGCTGTAAGAGGAACAGGGCAGATGGGGCCATTAGTTTCTACAGTCTGTTCACAGCCAGATGGCTGCAGAGCTGAGCTGCTTTTTTCTTTCTTTTTTTTGCTTTGAATAAATTTTATTATCTCAGAATAATGAATGCCAAATCCAAATTTACAACTTTACTCCTTGATGGAATATAACAGAACAGAACATTTCCAACCCAGGGACTCACGTCCTTCTAAACTCGGCCCTGTTCACAACAAAATGAGAGTGGCTGATTTTAACAGTGTTGTAGAAATGGATAAGATCAGTTTCTCATCAATGGTCCCCAAAGTGAAGGAAATCTGAACCATTTTATTGGTGGATCCCAGTCTTTATGAAGCTGTTTAGATTAATGCTCTGAAGCTTTAATAAAACAGCAGCATTTACTCTCAGATGGTGTTAAATCAAATTACTAACTTCCACTGACTTTATTTAGAGTTCTCAAAGTCAGTGGGACTGAATGCAACAGAAACACTTTTCCTTCCACGTCACCAATATGCAGTGCTGTGTCTTGTTTTACCACATTAAAATCCTAAAATATGCACAGTCAAATCACATCTGGTATCATGGACTGTATCAGAATGACTCACTTATATTGATAGAGGAAAGGGAGTCAATTTTGAAGAAATATGGCCACCATTTACTGAGTTTCTCAGTAAACTCAGGAAATTAATGATGAATTAAATGAATTCAGAAAATGATGCTTAGTGGTAACTTTTTCTTTTTTTTTTCCTATTATTTGCAATTACTTTGGGGATTAGATTGTTCAATGCAATTTTTATGTCAATTGTATCACTATCACATGCTTGTTTTGTGTATTAAAAGTGCAATAAATGTAAATTTAAAAGAAAGTTTCTAAAACGTCGACTAGCGGAAGCGGGTAGCGTACCGTGAGCCTCTTCTCAGGATTAACCTCTATCATGCCTTTGAGCAGCGACTGGCAGTCTGGGGGGATGAAGTGCGGCATGTGGAAGACGCCGCTCTTCACCTTTTCCAGGAGCTGGCGAAGGTTGTCGTGGTCAAACGGCAGAGCACCCTGAAGGTAAGAGGGAGAACAGGAAATGACACAGTTAAATAAACATTTCAAAGTAAAATGAAAGTGAACTGTGAACAGTAGAGGTTAAAACTGACCACCAAGAGGGCAAACAGGATGACCCCACAGCTCCACACATCTGCTCTCCTCCCATCATACTTCTCTCCCTGTAAGACAGACTATCGTAAATCTCAAGTTGATTCAAGTAGAATTCACTTCCTTTACCTGAATTATGAGTTATACAAGCTGAAACGTGGCTACATTTCTGTCAAAAGAAACTCTGTAATCCATTTTAATCCCTGTACTTATTCTGTCTCCACCGACACTGTGAAAACAACATTCATTTCATGGAGCAGGATAATCTTTTAAGTGCCGAGCGCAGTGAGAAAACTCACTTTGACAAGAGATGAGCCCATAAAAGCAACACAGGTCCCACATTTATCGTCAGTTTGAGAGATTTCACTTTTACCTTCAATGGTTTTCAAATTGTTAATGCCATCGCTTGATGTTCAGCTCATGTGACTCAACGCGTTTGCTTATGGATCAATAATTTAATCACATCGTTTGCTCATTTTTATCACAGGTAAAGGCACTCACCCGTATAACTTCAGGACAGGCATAATGTGGTGATCTGAAATCAAAGAAAAACCTTGTTATAAGACGTGTTAATATTTCTATAAATACTGAGGCGAAGACAGGAGTAGTGATAATTGCATAAAAGGGAATTAACAACATGGACTCTTCAAAAGAGTAAAAAGCTAAGATGTGATAAGATTTTCAGTGATCCAAACTTTAATACGCAATTATCAAAGACATAGTTCACCAAATCCAAAATTAATTCACTTAAAATGTTTCTTTTTTAAACACAGATGTAAACATACTGAATTACAAATGTATTTTATAACTCTGCACACTTAAATGCACCGATATCTTTACAAGGTCCATCAAATATATAAAAACAACTTTAATTTGGTCAGTAAGTGCAATTACAAGTAAAACAGTAAATGTAAAACAAATAATAAAGAAACAGAAAGTGGCAAAAACAATAAGTTTACTACTTAGTCAAACGTAGAAATAAACTATAAGAAACTTTCTCCTCAATGGTTCAGAAAGTGTAAATATAATGTAAAATATATGATAAAGGATGACAATGTTCAGAGCACAAAACATAGAATTAGACTATATAGACTGGGCACATTGTCAACAATACCCAAAGTAGAATTTTCCTCAATTTCTCTTTAGTTTAATACTTTGCTCACATTTTGCTCATAAATTAGCCTGTTTCTGTTTTAACACACAAGGCTGGTACTGACCCACAGCTGGTCTCCAACAGGCTGTCCCCCACCTGCAGGGAGGCCATACCGAAGTCAGCAATACGAATGTTGTTCTTCTCATCCAGCAACAAGTTCTCCGGCTTCAAGTCTCTGTGGCTGCAAAAACACAACATGCACACACATAGATTACACGCAGAAGAGGAAATCTATTTCTGACCCGGTCAAAAGAGATCTCAGAGCCAGAGCTCCAAAAGCAAAACACCAACCAGATGGAGTGACTGTGGCAGAAATCCAATGCAGAGATGATCTGCCTGAAGAACTTCCTGGCTTCTTTAGGAGTTAGACGTCCCTTCTTCACCAGGTAGTCAAAGAGCTCTCCTCCTGACACATGCTCCAACACCAGGTATCTGTCATCAAGCAGAACAATGAGCCTGCATTATTACTATAATCCCTCTGTCTCAGGGACGTTTATCTGGATTTGTTTATGATGTCCAGCTTCAAGATGACTGACTACACTAGGTTTATATTTATCTGCATTAATTAACATTTTACCTCTTTGGTGCTATAATAAACAAAAACAGTTTACGAAGGAGTTTCGTTTTCACACCCACTGAAATAAATAGAGTAAAAGTATACGCCGAGTAGCATTCTGATGTTAGCTTTGTTTGTTGTTATTTATATTTCTGTCTATTTGCCAGCTACATCTCAACGTTTTTACTTATTAAGAAAATGCTTCTGCAGTTAGTATAACAATTGGTAAGCATGGGAGTCTTAAAATGACCTTGCAACCTAAATACCAAAAGGAGAAATGAGAAAGTATATGTATTTAATAAATAGTGTAAAAAAACAAAAACAAAAACAAAAAACAACAGGGCTTGGGTCAATAAAAGCAAAACATTGGCTGTTGATGCAGATTATGTTCCCATTGTACCACTTTTTAATTGACTCAATAAAAACACTTGTATGCTCAAGCAAGATTTGGGATCACAACCTTTTTACATTTTTACTTTGTGGGTCAGAAGCTGGAAAGTTTTGGAACCACAGGAGCCCAAAATGATCTCAAAATATCAATAATTACTGGAACAAAATGGCCACTCCATGTCGGCACCTTGAGGGAGCAAATATTTGTCGATTTATGTTTACAATCTTAGCTTATAAAATCTCACTAAGGACTACATCATTTTTAGTGGCACTAAACCATGGCAAATAAATGTTTAAAAATTACAGATTTCTCACCCTTCCTAAAGTAGTTCTGGTTGCCATCTAATTCACAAGTTTTCATTGTTATCATAACTCATTATTGAGCTAGCGTTGTCCCAAATTGCAGCAGGAACTCACAGATATTTGTTGTTCTCATAAACGTCATGCAGCTTCAACACATGCGGATGCTCGATCAGTTTCAGAATGGCAATCTCCCTCTCAACCTGGTTAAACAAAAGACAAAGACAAAAATGCTACAGAGCCAGACACCAGTGATCATTCTGAAGCATCAGAATTAAAGAAAGTAGACAATAAATAAAGGAGAAATACCGCAGTTTGTTTGTGGTTTAATACAGCAGGAAACATTGACAGTGTCCCCTTTTCCCACCTATTGCTGCACTGAAAAAAAAACCCTGTAATTTACGGTAAGATACCGACAGATGTAGTTGCCAAAAAGAACAGTAAAATTTGATCAGAATCAGAATTTTACAATAAAACTGTACTGTATTTACATGGTAAAATACTGGCAATCACAGCTGTCGGTATTTCACCGTAAATTAGAGATTTTTTTTAAGTTTGCAGACTGCCAATCAGCTGGCTGAAAGAAGGCTACTAAACTGTAACCTTGCTTAAAAGAGACAAAGTTAGTCGTTATCAACAGTCAGTCAATATCCTGATTAATCTGCCAGCTAATATCAACTTGTTTTACTTGTGTTACTCTAAAAAGAGCAGAAAGCCAAACAAGTATAACTTTTAGCTGTATAAAACTACAACTTAATATGAACTTTCAAAATAAAGCTTTGAAATACTTTTCAAATTTATAGCAGCCACTTTTATATATTGAGTTTTAGGGGGCATTATTGTGAGTGTAGCAAGTTACAAAAATCCCTCACAAAGCTTGAACTAATGAAAAATAAGAAATGGTTAACTCCTACATAATATAACCAAAACCATAGCAAAACAAGACTTTAAGTTGCTAATGGATCTAAACTCACAGTGCAAAAAAAAATGAATTTTGCTTAAGATTCCAAAATATAGCTCACAGAAGCTTTTTAAAATAAAAGTCCTGCTTTTCAAAGGTTTAATTATCACAAAAGCTGGTTCAATGTTCCCAATGGGCTTGGAAGCTCAAAGATGATGCATTTTGGGCCAAATTCAGCAGCAAATGATAGGTTACAGTTTTAGGCAGTATGCAGAAATACCACCTGAAAATTGATTCAGGAATATTAGCAGTCAGCATTATAATAACTATACAATCAATCCCTAGAAATAACACCTGCTTTTCTGTTTTGAGTAAAAGCAATAATACATTTTTATTTTAAGACCGTATATTTATTTAAGAGCAGCTACGTACCTTCATCAGAACTGACTCAGACAGCTTCTCGCGGTTGACTATTTTGATCGCTACCTTCTGACCCGTAATACAGTGGATGCCGAGTTTGACCAGTCCTGAATGTAGAAAAGAGACAGATATCATTTTGATTCAATATGGTTCAGTTTTATATTGTTTATTCTACAATGGGGGTGAGTCCTCTCACCTGTCTGTCCCTTCCCCAGAGTCTTCTCCAGTCGATACGGCCCAACATATTGAGCAGACTGACTCAGAGACAGTTCCTTACTCATACTGCTCCCACTGAAGGCTTAATACACAATTAGAACTAATACTGCACTGGGATTTATTGCAATTTCTCTAGTACTGTACAGATTTTACATAGGTTGGTGCAAGAAATTATGCTCAACTTTAAATTTCAGGAAGATCACAGCTATTTCTAGTTTACTAACATGTATCATGAAATAACACACAAGTCAAACCATTTGGAAATAATAATAATTCCTGTTCTAAAACGTGGTTAAACAAAAATATATAATTTAAAGCAGAGAAACTGGGATGACAGTTTGTACCAAGGCTGCTTACTGAGTTAAATACCAACCATTGTCCTTAAAATGAACATTATAAGGTACTGCAGGCTAACTAGGATGTTTTACGTATGTACATTAGCTTATTGGTGTATTTTAGTTACATTTATGACGTTAACTACATTTATATGTCATTAAAACAAGCCGTCTGCTTTATGTCATTTTCTATTTGAGCGTAAGAACGAAATGTCCAACACGTACGCTGAGATGTTTGCTCCGAAACCGTGATAAGAGTTATTTTTTCCTCTGTCAGGCCTGTTTTTACAGGTGCAACAACATGCTATCTGAGGCTAGCTTTAGCTTCGACGCCTCGACCAACGGCCGTCTCGCGCCTGTCACAAACACCGACCCCGCTTGAAGTTTCTCGGCGTCGCCAAACGGTCACTTTTATCGCACGGCTGCCACATTCTCTCGGATTGTCGAGGTGAAACGCGCAGTCCTCTCCGGACAACCATCTTCTTACATGTACATGTAATTATATGTGTGTTATTTCTCATTAGCGTAGCGTAGTCCTCCCCCGTCCCCTGCCTCTGCTCGTCTCTGCCTCCCTACATCACTGCAAGTGGCGGATCACAGCATCTTCTTCCCTCTCTCCTCTCCTTCGGCGTGTCCTCCATGGGCGGTGACACATACAGGTGAAACGACACGGCGCAGATCAGCTTATCTTCCTCCTCGCTTCGGATCCTAGTTCACGCAAGCGAAAGGCCCCCCTCGGATGATACTCCGTTTTCTTGCCGTAAATCGATATTTTCGCTCCCCTCTTCCCTTCCTTCGCCCCGCTCGCATCAGCATCCGGGTCTCACTCCCTCTCCATCCTCTCTCTCTTGATTTCTCTTCCCCGCCCTCCTGGTCGCCTTCCTCAAAATACGCTTATCTCTGCATTCACCTCAGCACCTGCCACGCTGTGGGCTCCGTGGGCCGCAGAGGACGCCTCCCTCCCTATTATCATGAAAACACTTGAGTAAACATCACCTCGGGCTGCGGATGGGACGATGAGGAGCTGCTGGCCCAGAAAGATTTCAGTATAACTTGGCAGGCCTGCAGCACTTTATTTAACACGACAGGGATATTTGCAAAAATATTTATACCCACTTGAACTTTTTATCTTTTGTACGGAAGAGGATTAGATGCACTGGAAAACAGAATAAAACAGCTCTGACTTTAATCTCAGAATTCTGATTTTGATCTCAGAATTTTGACTTTAATCTCAGAATTTTGACTTTGATCTCAGAATTTTGACTTTGATCTCAGAATTCTGACTTAAATCTCAGAATTCTGACTTTAATCTCAGAATTCTGACTTTAATCTCAGAATTCTGAAAAAGAGTCAGAATTCTGACTTTAATCTCAGAATTCTGAAAAAAGAGTCAGAATTCTTTCTCCTTTTTTTTCGGTGTCCCTAATCCCCTTCCGTACTTTTGTTCAGAACTAGAAATTGAATATATATTTCATTGGGATTTTAATGAGACAGAAAAACACAAATGTTTTTGTTACAAATACAGATCTGAAAAGTGTGGAGTTATTTGTATTAAGTGCATGTGATTTCTTCCAGAATAAATAATTAGTCACCTGCTGTGACTAAATGATAAACTGTGATTTTTACTCCGGAAAAAAACACATGCACTTAATAGAAATACACTCCACACTTTTCATATGGTAATTTTTTATAATAATAATTTATTACAAAATTATTTTTTATAGATGTAGATGTTCCTACACCTTACTATTTAAGGATCAAAGATCATGACAGAAAAAGACATGCTGGATCATTATGTCATTTGCATTATTTTAATTTAAACAAGTGGTGTGCTGTTTGGCATATTGGGATTACATTCATCTTGAGTTTTCTGGTTACTCAGTTTGTTCCATATTTCCTCTCACTGGAAGATCTGGAAGGTAGAAAAACCTTTAACTGGTGGCCGCCTAAACAAGAAGAAGGAAGAAAAATAGGAAGAAACAAACATTAGCTTCACCGATTAGCAAAATTTGGTATTTGATTAATGTCTTATTGGCTGTGAGAGTAATTCTAAGTGAAAATCTTTGACTTCAAACATTTTCACTCCTTAAGATGAATAAAATTCAGACTAAGCAGAGATGTTTCATTCAAGGTTTATGCCTGCCTTCCCAATAGAAGGCAGGCATAAATATGTGATAGTTTGTAGGGATGTGAACTTACTTTTTAAATCCATGTTTCTTCATTTATCAGGATCCGTCACACAGAGTTTTTATGCAGACGTGGAAGGCATCCATCAGATCCTTGCAGGCAGCCGCTTTCTTTTCCATAACGCTGTAACACAAGACATGACATCCTTAGTCTGTACTCAGAAACACACACCTTATAGAAATTAGCCAACATAGAATTACCAACACAGAGAAATGTAGCTAAATGTTTTCTAAAAGTGCATCAGTGGATTTTTTTTACTGTAATTTGCCAAGTTTTTCTTTTTTGCAGCTCATATTAGTACATCTTCGTGAACTGCCATCAGGAACAAAATCCATGCACCAAATACCTGCTCCTCCTTAAAGTGACAAACAAATTTGTTGTGTAAAAAGCTATACATTAAATTCATGTTTTATTGCTGTTGTTGCATAATTTCATACAGAATTTTTTTTTAAAGTCCAGCCTTTAATTTCAGTATATTTATTCAGAAAGAAAACTATGATAGGCCCTCCATAAAATGCATCTATCAGTAAAAAAAAAAAAAAAAAAAAATTTAAACCAGTAAAATCTACATTATTTGCTTTAATATATATCATTTGTTTAAACTAAATTGAAAAAGTAAGAAGTTCAAATAAGTTTTAAAAGATGTGGTAACGTTATCACTTGTCTACAAGCATGAAATTATTTAAAGAGTAAAAAAGTATTGAATCTATTGAATCTAAGCAACATGTGATTTAATATTTTACAATGATGCCATCAGACAAACAAAAATATAAAGTCATGCAATGCAACTTCTTTTCATTTTAAAGACTAAAATGAAAAAGTGATATATAAAAGTTTCAAAAATAAATTTCAAGCAGAAGAAAGAATATAATGTCAATAACCACAAAAGGTAATGTAAATATGTCTGAGAACAGAATAAAAAGTACTTCCTGTGACAATATATGGTCTTTACCGGATATTTGTTTGACCTCTAATTGTAGTAACAAACTCAGGAGACAGAAAATTACATCAGATAACAAAGCTTGTGTAAAAACAGGAGGCTTCACTTCAACAAACTTTAAGTGTGTGTCTGGTGTATTTTCGGTCAGATCGTGTTTGTTCTTCATTCAGAAGTTACTCACAGTGAGTAAAATAACCCAAATTGTACACAAGTGAGATTAGAAATGATCAATTATAACATTACTCAAGTAAGTAAAAGTGTGTATTTAAACAACTCCTAAAAGTTTTTTTTTTTTTTTTAATTACACAAGTAAATGAAACTGAGTAAATGTATCCAGCTACAATCCAACTCTGAACATTTCTGCCAACTGCTCCACCATGCAGATGAAATATAAGATCATCTTAAATAACAATCTCTTGGCTTCAATCAGTAAACGGAAAATTGGTCACAACGACAGGATGATAAATCAAAACATATAATAACAGAAAAATGATTCAAAATGAATGCTTCTTCTGTGTTTAGAGGTTGAGCTTAAAAATAGGATAGCAAAGGAGAGCAGTCATCTCTCTGTCTGCTCCTTCCTTGTCAAATGGACTAATAGTGTCACTGGTGCTTTTTTAAGAACAATAATGGTTTTGTTACACAGTGTTTCTTCTCCTAGTGACTAAATATCTTGAAATTAAAAACTGTTTTTAAGACTCTTAATAATTCTGCTGGAATAAAATTGTATTTATTTTTTTTACTGGTCCCAATAAACGCGACTTTCTGTAACGTGAGTTGACACCCTGGTACTGTATGTGCCGTTCCTTACGTGTGGAGTCTATTTTAAGCTTCTGATCTATTTATGCATCTCAAGACCTTGGTGTTCCTGGACTTCAAGCTCTATTGTGGTTTGTCAAATAACGTAAACAAATGATCTGTAATTGATGGAGTCTATAAAGCTGCTGATGGCACAAATTCACTTTGTCAGTCAGATGCTATGTGTATTTGCTGCCAGCAATTAGTGTTAAAACTCACCACTTGTCAGCTTCCGCCTTGATAATCTGGCATGGAGCTGGCGCCGCATCAACAGGAACCGGCATTTGGACAGAACAGAACCGGAGGTTTGCTGCAGCAACAGCTGCGGTGAAGTGGGATCACAGAGAGAGACGCTGACGCGGTTGACTGGGTGGGTGGGTTGTATTTAAATTTATTTAAAAGTTTTGATCCATTTTAACTGTAAAACAAATTGAAACTGGGAAAAGTACTTGTCTTGTTAAAGATTTTCTCTCTTTTTATTAGTTTTTCTTTGACTTACATAAATGCATTATCTTATCTAAGTAATATTCCCTGGTTTATATCCTTTGTTTTGTTATTCTTCTAATGACTGTGTGCATGCGTGACCTTTGGGGTCAGCTGTTATGCATCACAATGTCCTCTTAATTCTCTCTGCATGAGGTCCATCAGTTTTAAACCAGTTTGTTAAGGGGCTGAAATGGGAGAAGATTCATTTGCATGCAAAAGGAAAAGGAAACAGAATTAGTTTTAGGTAAGGATGAAAGAAGCAAACAGGCATTTTCCAGGTTTTGAGGATGAAAATGGAGAAACTGCAAAACTGCAGAAAAATATGCATAGCTGTTTGAAACAAATTAGAATAACTAATCTTCTGTTTTTAATTTGTGCATTACAGTATGTTCAGAGTTTTATCATTTATCACAGCAAAGTTGAAGTTTAATTGAAAAAACTGCTAAAAAAAAAACAACTTCCATATCAGAATTAATAAAAAGAACAAACAAAAATGTAATATTTTATATTTTTATTGTATTTTGCTTTTTTTGTAAAATAAAAAAGTTTCTCAAAAATATGGTCATATTTATGACTATATTTTTGGTAAACATTTTTACATATTTACCAAAAATATGTAAAAATTTACCCCACTAAAACAGCAGCATTTTATGGTTTGATTCCTTAACTTTGGAAATATGTTTTTTGTTGCTCCAACCATTGTTATTGAAGAATAAACTAGGAAAGTATTTGTATACCTTGAACTTTGTGCATTTTCTCACTTTATAAACTTTAATATATTTTATCACAACCTTGTGATAAAATATAAATAAAGATGCATGTACGCCTTTCAAATTAAAAAAAATATATTAGAAATTTGTAAATGATTTTACTTTGACATTTTTTTTATTCTAATATTAAAGGCTATAACACAGTTTAAATAGTATAATAACCTTTTGCAAGCTAATCTTTGTCTGTATAAAATATAAAATTCCAGAGGTAGGACAAGCATTAATAATGTGCTTATTTGGCAAATTGTATATCAAAGATATAGGTCAAATTATAGGTCATTGTAAAACCTAATATATATTTTTTTAATGTTGTTTCAACAGGAAAAATCAAACCTCTCCACTAGAGGGCAGCAAACACTGACACGAGACTGAACATCCAGTTGAATGGCGTTTAGAATATATGGAGCAAATAGGATCATACTGTCATATTAAATAAATACAGAAATGTGTTCCGGTGAGATTAAGATAACAAAGTGTTAAAGGTTTTAAACATGTTTTTGACTAAGGCCAGATTTTTGTAATAAATATGTATTTTTATTGATTTTATGTAATTTTCTAGTCTTAAATATTATGTTTTCATTGTCTGTACGTGTAAATCATTACAATTTACAGAAATAAAGACTTGTAGACATCAGTTTATGTGCAATTATTATATATTACCCGTTTCTGAGTTATTGGAATAAATGAATTTTGCAATAATACTCTAATTTGTTGAATGGGTTTGTATTTCATGCTCTTCTGTCTTTGTGTGAAAGTCTAATAATAACCTTCTTGGTTGTATGTCAGTTTATTTTTAAACCTAGAAGTGACACAAGGTTGCATGGCAGTCTCGCCATTTTAAAGTGTCAGAAAAAAAACCCCCAAGTAGGTGTGAACTACTGAACCATCTCTACCAGCCAGGGCTCAATGATCCTCCATTACTATAATTACTAGAAAGCTCAGTGTGCCATCTGCTGGCCTGAACAATTATGTACATATCGTCTGCCAGGCAGGTTCTCTAAATAATAAGCTTTAACAGAAGCATGTAAACAAGTGTTGCCATGTTAGGAGGAGAAAGCTGGAGTCCGAAAAGGCCAAAAAGGGTCGAATACAGAGTCAGAGGGATTTACAACAGGTTTAAAACAGGAAATGTCATCTGTTG